TGGCACAACTTTGCTGCAGAGAGCAAAGGAGCTTGGATGCACGAGGCCGATGATAGGCCCCGATGCTCCCCCCGGCTGCAAACACAATTAGGTAAGCACCGCCGCCGCCGTCAACGGTGCTGCAGCTACTGCGAGGCTAGAAAGTCTAGATAGACCTATTTCGTGATATATAAATTACTCTACGTAATCCCTCTGATAATAGCTTGTGCTAATGGCGCACACGTATGCAGCTACGGTCCGATTCTTAGACACAAATTTGAAAAATTGGGATTCAATCAAAACAACGCTACACAGCATATCCTAGCTAGACCGTCCTGTACTATACTCCGTTCTTGAGGCATCATTCATTGGGTATCATAAGACATAAATTGCATAATCTGAAACTCATCACCCCCCATCAACTCAGACGCTCCAAAAACCCCTGCGCGATTAGCCGTTCCACATCCCCTTGCCGCACGTAGAGTTGGCTGTTTTTCGTCAAATTGATCACCCTATATGCAATGTCAGCATTCCGACCCGCCGATCAACAATTCGCGCGAGGGAAAAAAAGTAGAATCAAATGCCTCACTAACCCATACTCAGTCTGGATCTCCCCCGCATCCTTCAAGACCCTCACGTCTATGAAGAGATCCTTCGGGGGCTCCAGGCTTCCCGTAAGATCAATATCCGTCCATTGTCCCTTATACGCCGCCAGGAGATCGCTATATTGCCGGAAGTACTCTTCTTCTTCCGGACTCAACGAACTGTGGTTCCCACTTGCAGTGCCCATCGCTGCATAACCCCCGCTCCCCTGGCCTGACGCACCTGCAGCCCCTTCGTCTGCAGTCGGTAGCTGCTGCTCGAGCAAATCGACGCCATTCCAACATAGCTCCTCGAGCTTCTCGGCGCGAACACGGTGGTAGGCAAGTAGACATCGTTTGTTGCGGCGCATACAGAGGTGATCCACTAGAAGGGCACAGGCGACGGCTGGTTCTTGTGACGGATTGAAACTGCCTTCGAAAGGCCCGAGGAGGTGTGCGACATCACGGTCGAGGTCGCGTACTTCGCGGGCTACAGAACGGACCAGTTCGGTTTGGTAGGGAGGGAGATGGGTGAGAGCTTGAGTACGCTTGGCATGTTGCACCTATTTGTGGGTTTCGTTAGGATGAGTTATTCATGGAGCATGGCTTGAAAGAGGAGCACATACAAGCTTGTTTCCGTGTTCGCCGTACATGGCGAATGGATATGACTTCAGAGGAATGCTCCGGCTTTCGGGGGGTGTACATGCGCCGTTGGCAGTATATAAGAGTTGTAGTGGAAATTATGCAGACCCGACAAGAATTGACTTCACACTATAAGTGTGTACAACCAATAAGTTGCTATTCAAAGTTATTGAGGTCAGAGGTCAATCTGCCAGGAAAGCGTCGCGCGGATCGCTAGGCCGCGCCCGATCGAAGATCTACACGTGACGGACGGCTCGCGTTCCTGCCAAGCCGCCTTTCAACGTAAGATAGTGAACCCAAACTTGACATCAGCGAAGATGTTTGAACGCGTGCCCTGAGCAGCTGATGCTAAGGGTTGTGAGCCAGTGGAAGCTCCCTGGTAGCATCTTTCCATTAGCCATTTTCCAGGTTGTTGATATATGGAAGAAGCCGAGGCGCGAATTTATTATATGAACTATACTTATTATATCTTTGATCCTCTCCCTACCCCAAAACAAATAAATAAGGCGCATCCAATGCAAATAAATTTCCACCCGACCGATCCAGCCTACATTTTAGTATTACTGATGGAATCATTATATTCTTCAAATCACCCAGTGGCTTTGTGAGATATAAGTAGACATGAGTGATGATGGATGACTATATGAATTTGAGCTAACAGAACGAGAAAGCCCTCCACCGTTGAGAAGAATCTCCGAGTTTCATTCTCTGATAAGCTATTCAGAAAGCCATTCCCTGCTAAGTCCTCTGGAGCTAGTATAACGACACGGAAGATGCACATAGAAAAGAAGATTATCTCCCAGAAAGATTCGATCAAGCACCCAAAAATAATGCCACCGTAGGCATTTGCAGTATCAATGGCTTTGTCTGTCGCACAATGTGCCTAAAACTCCATGAAAGGAGAGACGCAGTGGCACAAATCAATGCCCAAGGGTCCTTAGATGGATCTCAATGATAGCCTTATCCCGGAAACAACCTCCATTGTGTCCTGGACAGAAGTTTCAATGTAGGGAAGCATAGAAAAACTCGACTTTCCCTAAGAGTTATCAGCTGCAGAGGAGCCCCTTTCAAACCCCAGGAAATGTAACAACACTCCCAGTCAGACTGGAGGCAATTAGCATAATAAAAAAAATGCGCTGTTACGGCCGAGAACTATGCGCCATTATTGCGCGTCTTCTGGATCATGCAAAGATCCCTAACGTGCTCTGGAATGAGTACATGCTATCTGCCTACGGGGCCTTTACACAAGAGGTAAGATTTCCATCGCACCTACATCCACGGGCTCAATGATCACTAACGATCTCTAGCCCCACGACATATCTTTCATCATCCCAAACAGACTACTCGACGCTGCATACCGAACCTTACAAGCAGCAGGATTCACAACCTGTCCCGAGAGCCACATTGAAACTTGCTCGCACTTCCAATGTCCCGAAGACGGCATGATCCCAGCAAGACACTTTCACATCGCAAGCTACTGGATTGTTCCCGCGCATACATACTACCTAAAACTATACGGGCACGCAGAAACCCTCTTCTCACTCCCGGAACCCACTTTGAACGAACCGTCCCGACACGACAAGTACTACATGTCAACCAGGGACGAACGCCTCCCTCCTCAGATTGAGCCACTGCACGATGAGAGGTTGATGCTATACGTCGAGCTCATTGAAAGAGCATATAGAGACCCTTACGAGCTGGAAAGATATAAAATCAAGATCCCGAACCTCACTATGGCCATTCATGCTCTTATCCTCTTACGCTGTCGAGACGAGGGCTATAATAGCCATTGTGATGATGACTGGTATCGCATGCTATCTTCTATTCGCTGGTATGTTGTCCAGCGGGGTAAAATGCAGATCGACAGGCTGGAAGCGGTCATTCAGCCGATTTGGGATAATTTGGAACAGCAGTATGGGAATCTGTGGATAAGAGCCCTGCGGAAGAAGCTTAAGAGGGAGAGAGTCCTGCCGCTTCCGTTTGTTGATCGGGGGTGTAGGTGCTTTCGCGATTTGGATAAGTGAGTTTTGGTGGATGCTGAACGATCAGTCGGTTCTCTCTTTACCAGCTAGGGATAGCTCACTTACTCCGCTCCGGTACTCTACGATATCGGGGTCGATATTAATGGTAGTCTATTAGCTAGGATAAAATAAACACCTGATACCAGTTCCCAAGCTTCAAGCATCACTAGCGATCCACCGACCAATAAGGGTATAATTCTCTCGCACCTAACTCCTTCCAAAAAGATAAAAATTAGTCAGACTAACAAAGACGCACCTTCACGGCGAGCCACCACTCTCATGTCAGGGCATATATACGGTTTGATTTTTCGGTCCATAGAGGTAATGCGTACCCCATATCCGAGCAACCAGTATACATTCCGAAATCCAGTGCGAAGACCTCAAGCCTCTTACTCCAAGGTACATCTAGGCATCATCCTTAGCATCTTAATACCCAGAGTCCCCTCATATACCCTGGTAACGTCCCGCAAGACAGTCCTTAGAGCTACTAACCAACACCGCCCCGGCCGACGAAGCGAAGCCGCTTCCATGTCCTTAAGCAAATATGTATTCAATCTTAGAACATGTTTCAAAGATAGGTTAGTAGACAATAGAATGAGACAATAACAAGGCTCTGACTATGTACCAAAATCAAAACTGAAGATCTTCACGAAATTCACAATGAAACAATCAACGAGTTCAATAGACAGAAACAGGTCCAGGTGATCTTCCAAGACCATTACACAGCCCCCTGACCTATTCAACAACTACCACACACAAGGTAATTAAGACAACTGGAGTTGAAAGAGAGCATTCACGGGCCTTCGCTGAGGGGTACTATTTTAGATAGCGGTGTTCAATGGGGGAGGACAAAGAGATACATATATAGTAAATAGCTAGCGGAAGATGAAACAAGGGGGTTAAATGGGGATATATTGAAAGAAAGAATCATTAGTTATAAGAATAGAGGGGTGAAATACGTGTCTTGAAACAATTGCTTAGTGGGTGTTGAGTGTAGGATCAGGGATGTGTTTGGTAACACGCTCATTGTAGAGGAAAAGAGTCAATAGAATGGCGTGTTTAGAATCTGCATATTCACTGAGACTGTTACTAGAATAAAGAAGAATAAGAGATTCCTTACATTAGCCACTATTCAAGAGACAATGTAAATGCTATTCATAGACTAATAACACACCGTGATGTTTCAGATATGTCCAGTTCTTAGAAGAATCACCAGAAAGTCCAATGCATGCCGATGAAGATCAGCATACTGAGGAAAGCCTTGAGTTTTCAACACACGATAGGGAGAAAGGAAATAAAACAGAAATTCGATTGCAAGTGGTGGTATCCTCCTGTTATCATGCAATGCCCAATTGATCTAATGCATCAAATCCCGTAACTACCATGAGATATGCACAAGAGTGCCAACAAAACTGCCTCCCACAAAGCACATTTCCATATCCATATCAATATCCGTGTCCTAAAGCATGCCCCATGACCAAGAAGAAAGAACCGAAAGCTAGAACCCAGATAAGCAGCGAACGTGAACGAACTTAGGACCGATAACCCCGACAACAGAGCGCCGGGCCACGTTTAATAAAAATACCTACGCCTTCAACAATAACTCCGCTCCGAGGGGTAAGAAACAAAAAAGTAGACGTCCATCCCAGGTCAAAAAAAGAAGATGAACATAACAAGAAAAGAAAGTAAAGATTAGATAGACTTGTATGTGATAGCAGATAAACTGGTGGAGGAGGGTATTCTGAACGTTCCATGATTACTGTGTTCGAGATGAGGATTAGTATGTCGTGCCCTGCTGGTTGATCCAGGTGTCAAAATCGCCACCGGTACCATCAAGAGCAGGGTCGGTTTCTAGGGTGTGTATTCCCTGTGAGTAGGTCGTCGTGGTATAAGGGATTGAATAAGGTGCCAAGGAAGACGAGGGAGAGGTGTAGCAGTTGACGTTGGAAGAGTCTTGCCACATATTGTGAGAGCTGCCAAAGAGCTGGTTCGGGCTCTGGAGTTCGGTCTGCAGGGTCAGGAGCTGGGGATCCAGTTGTCCATCACCGGGCAACGAGGTGGACGGTTGAAGAAGGTCATGATGTGTGGCGCCGGGTAGAGCAGCCAGTGGAGTGGACGAGGACGTAGCATATTGAATCCCATGCAAGCCAGTCTTCTTGAATCGGACATCCTCTACGTGAGGGATAAGCCCTGCATGAATTGTCTGGTGGAGGTAGTGAGACGGCTCAGAGGAGGGAATCATGCCAGGGTGCGGCCGCCCATGGTTGGCTGCATGCCAGGCAGATGAAGATAGGTAGGTATCCCCAGGTAGATGTAAACCATGGTCAGCAAAGTCAAATGGGGTCGAGTCCCGACTTTCCCAGCCACTACTATCAATTTCTGAAGAGCTCGCGGCACGGTTTTGAAGAAAAGCTGAAGTGGATCCAGGGGTGCTGGCCAGGGGACGCTCATCTTCGCTCCCAGCTCGTTTCTTCTTATCTTTCGACGGCGAGAACTTGTAACCAGGATGCGCCTTGAGGTGGTTACTCTTCTCGATATTGGCTAGAAGCTCGTACTTCTGGCGGATTTCTGGAGATTCAAGCCTCCAGCTGTCACCCGCTGCTTCGGAAACCACTTGATGATTGTTCTGCGCAAACCATTGCTTTGTCCGGTCGGCATATGCCGATCGATAAAGCATGAAAGAGTTCATGGGCCTGGCAACCTTTCCGTTCCTCTTGGCTACCTCTTGGTGACGAACCTCTATTGACCGATTCACCCAGCGTTCCATGTCTCGAATAGGGATGTTTGTCAAATGCTTGGTCACTTCACTCAGAGGGCCTTCGAGCTCGACTCTTGTGTCCTTTCTATTTCTATTCCTGCGACGCACTCTAGGCGACCTGGCCACCCTTGCCCTCGTCACCTGTCTCTGGGACGGCGGCGAGCTCCATCGTGGTACCGATTCAGAAACTAGGCCCTCGTCTGCAGCAGGGGGAGGTGTGTTAACCTGAAGGCCATTTGTTGCCATCTAGGACGTAATCAGTACTACAGCTCACCTCAGAGACCTGGAAAGTCCAGTATTACCAAACTTACCGGGGCTTGCATTGACAGTGATCGAGGATAGTCCCCGGAAGAGACGTACTGCGATGAAGGAGGAGTGTACTCCTGAAACACGATTAGCCATTATCATATGAGATTGAGCAAATTGCGTGTGCTTACTAGAGAGTGTGGTCTGTGTTCGTAAATATCACCAGACGCACGATTTCCATGTAACATAGAACCATAAGGGTCGTGATGGCTATAAGCTTGCTGGAGCGTGCCACAGGAGGTTCGATGGGCTTCTGGTGCAGGGTCTCCATCAGTAGAATGAGGCGGGGAAGGCGGTTGACCGCGGATCATTCTCGCCGTAGCGACAGTTGCCATGGTGCGAGAAAGAGCAAGACGGAGTGAATACGATAGAAGATGACAAGGAGAGGTCAAGAGGTTGTGAATCAAAGAGAAAGCTAGAAATGGAGTTTCAAAGGTAGGGCAACGAGACCTCCAATTTCTGGGTGTAGGAATGAATAGGCAGAAGTATGCGACGGCTGGGCTGAGCCAGAAAAGTTGCGGGGATCAGTGAGTGGATATCGTGCACGCCTAGGCGAGCCAATAATCCGGAATAGTGGTAATAGCAGTTAAGGAATTGTCCACAGCAAGGAAGCTATGCATTTGAAGGCTTTCCAGAGGGTTGCGATTCAACGAAAGGTTACAACAACCGGGGAAGTATGTGCGGAAGAAATTGAGGGGAAAAGAAAAAGACAGGATATACGGCGGGGGAGCTAGCAATTCGAAACGAAAGGACAGGGGAGAAGTGACGGTAGAGATTGTTGCCAAAAGGGCCACAATAAAACACTCAACAGAATAAGAAGAGTGAAAGAATAAGAACAGGGAGGTGGAAGAAAGAACGGTGAAGTGAAGCCTGAGAGGAACAAATAAGTAGAGGCCCACAACAACCACGACAACAAGCAGAAGAGAGAAGAGGGGAGGAGGTGGAGCCTCGAAGGAAGCGGTAAGATGATGGAGATGGGGAGGAAGTGTGTAGATGCGAGTAAGCACAATTGAGAGAAGCTTGATGATGATGATGAACACCTGTTGTTGTTCACGAGGTGTGAAAGGGAGAAAGGAAATAGGGACAAGGGAAAAACAGTGGTGGAATTCGGGCGGATATCAAGCAGTTTAAGGCGGGATGGGATACTGCAGCACGAAGTTCTAGATGGGGATGACAACCATGGAATCCCCAGCGGCTGAAACCCTTGACGGGCTGCCCTCTGCTGGCCGGCGGTGGTGAATTCCCTCGATGTTGGCACGGGGTTGCTAGATGGCGTTGTCTTTGTTCCGCTGTCTTGGGACCGGAGCCAGACATGGATGCATTCCCTTTGGTATCCCATCCGCTCGATTGATGTGATTTGATTTCCATTTTATTTTAGTATCTCTTCGCTTGTCTGCTACACTTCTGCTCCTGGGGCACCCATACGTTTATTTTCGGATCCTCCCACTCTTTCTTCTTTTCCCCTGTTCATTCTTCTACGGCGTTTGCTTCTAGATTCCTCTTTGTGCCAAATCTAGGTTCCTCTTCTAGTCTTCCAGAAGAAAACAGGAGAGGGGAAGAAGAGAGGGGAGGGGGGAAGAACCAGCGGGTTTGAGGCTGTTCAGAGCCTGACTTTAGGGTGGTTACTAAATGCGGACATGCATCTACCCAGGCACGGATTGGGTTTACCTCTCTTATCATGTCACTGAATATTGAGGCGCGGCATTTGCTGAGCCATCCCCTCACTCACTGGAAGGGATGGCGGGAAATGAAAATAAAAAAAAAAATAGAGAGAATAATAGCTTGGGTATGATCGGTATTCACATTACGTAGAGGACATTGGTCCCTAGTGAATCTGGATCGTGGAGCAAACCCATACCTCATAATAAGGGAATTATTATTGAATTCTGAATTTCAGTGAGTGGGGAACCAAATTTAACAGCCAAATTAGATAATAAAAGGAATAAAAATTAAAATTAATATGAGGGAGAAAAAAAAAATAAAATGAGAAAAATACTTAGAATGGAAAAATAATAATTATAATAACGAGGGGGGGAACTGGCAGTCTAACGTTCAGGCATTCGTCCCACTCTTTGCCTATTAAGTTATTAGTGCGATCTACTATCTATCCGGGGACCGGAACTAAAGCAGGCAGTGACATTGGTCGGAATTAGCCTCATGCTTTGGATGTGATAGCGTGCACTGTGTGTGTATTCACACCAAGTAAAAAGTCTAGACATTAAGAGGCACTTCATGACAAGTAGGATACAGATATGCTCATTCTATTCTTCTACAGACCCGGAGGAGCAACTAAAGCGGCCAGAGAGAGAAAAGAAGTATCAAGATAGGAAGTGTAGATCGGGGAAGCACAAGGCTAACGGTGAAAGATACGAAGGAATCTGAAAAAGGAAACAAGAGGCAAACAAGATGCTACCAAGCGATTAGTGAGAATACCGGCTCTCATGAAAACAAATTGAGACCGCCGGATACAAGAGGTATCCGATCTTAACTCCATGTTTTAACTCCCCGGATATCGGGTCTCCTCATCCGAGCAGTCTCGAACTACTACTCTGAAGTGTAGATATCTTGCAGACATCGACATTGACCAACCGGATTTCAATATATTAGAATTCGTCAGTCTTCAGCCATGAAGACAGGCAAGAGTAATTCGAGGCTAGGCTTGGTTGAACCCGAACGAGTCAGTTCTAGCCAGTAGCAAGCAATCTGTTGCCCGAGTAATCGACATACACCACTATTATCATCATCAGCGTCACTACCCCGACTACATACTTCGGCTCCGAAGAAGAGGAAAAGGTTCCATGGATCGGTATTCTCCAGCTCCTGGGACGTCCACATACGTGTATCTAGACTCTGCTTTCTCCGCATCCGCACATCGCCGAGCGGAGCTTGCGACTCGCCCCTGGGTCATCCAGGCGAAGACATGAAGCGCACGTATGTATGTATCTGAAAATGGTAGGTAGCTAGCGCAAATCATGAGCATACTACTGCTTGGCCGATACCCCACAATCAAGCCAGTCGATCGTTCGTGCCTTTTCTTGCTTATCCCTTAGCGAAAGCGGCCAGACTACGTTGAGAGACGGAGAATTCAAAGGCAAGCGCGCATTAGGTGAGGGTTGGGCTACAAGCCCGCCTCTTGGTAAGTCTGAGCTAGCCCACTGGAAGATGCTGCGTGACTCGTGAGAGACATCTGTCATGTGTCGAACCAGTGGATACCGATCTGTATGTTGGTTCGGATGCGAGCAGGTCCATGTTTGTAGTTGGGCCAAGACCAACAATCCAACCAGAAGGGCGCAGGGCACTCCGTATACAATTTGTGAAATTTCCTTTGCCCCTTGGAAAGGGTGCATAGCCGTGAAGATGAATAGCGAGGATTTGTTATGCCATTCTAGTCCTATATTCTTCTGAGCGACCGCAATCACGTCCTCTAGAAATTAGGTTTGCGCGGGGAGTCGGTTGCCCGACGTCCCTTCAGAGAAGGAAATCCACTCCCCTCTTCTTTCTCCCCTCCAAACCAGACTAACTCAAAAGAGCATGCCGCGAGCATCTCGTAGTATTTGAGACCATGGACCCAAAAATACGCCACACAATTATTATTGGCTTATCCATTGGTCGGGTTGAAGTAGCCGGCGAGCTACGACTGGCTCCAGCAGATCAGTGAGCAGCGCTAGCGTCATGTATTGAAAAGACTAGCCCACTTGGGTAGTTTAAGCTGGCGGGATCGTGCCGGCGAGGCCGCCGGTGGGGGTCCTGCCTAATACTGCGATTTCCAGCTAGTACTGTCTTCTGTGTAGTAGTAGGTTGACACGGGGCTCGCCGCGGAAGGAGAATTGGATCTAGTGGGGTCGAGGTGGGGAATGCGATGCTTGAATCAGGCAGAACTGACTCTGTACCTGCGCTATCTTCTATGCGAACGGAAGGGCATAGACATGATTATCTGCTGAGCCACGTAATTTAGATGTGTAAGTTAGTTAGTTATGGGTTAACGTTAGTTATAGTAAGTAGGCCGTATCAAAGCTACGTAAGTATCGCGTAGTTTCCCTGCATGTCGTTAGCTTGTTAATGCCAATTATGACAGGGGGTCTGCATGCAGTATACGCTGATGTATGATAAATTGCATCTTAGCTTGGCTGGCTCAAATGGGATTGCGGCGCATGTTTATTTCCGGCGTTCTGCTTACCCCCTTGTTTGGGAATGGGCCATCCTGATGGTTGGGTCCTCTACGGTCACGTGTGTTAGCCCAGCCATCGTTGGAAGGATTCGGGGATTGTCATTCCCGAAGATTGTCATGTCATATATTCCTCTCATGCACACTGCTTTTGCAATATGTAGTTCCGTCCTGTTCTGCATTATGCCACTGCGGAAACGGCGTTTCAGCTGCAATTTGGATAGTTGTAGTATACCAACATTGTACACGGTCCGTTGACAACCACTGATTGGCATAGGACATGCAGCGGAGCCAGTGTAGTGTGCGGCAGCTACATGAAGTATCAAAACAACAACAGCCAGACAAAACTCACCTACTCTGGCGAGTCGGTTGGACTGGATGAGATTGCAAAGAACCCACAGATCGCCTACCTCCACTGACGGCTGATCCACTTCTCACGATTCTCCTTCCCCAATCGATCCCCCCTTCCTCCCTTCCCACCCTCACTTGCCATAAGATCCTCCCGTTCCAGCTGAAGGGATGATCTGACGGCCTCCGAGAGAGCTAGCATGATCTGCGGCTGCCAAAATGGGTTTCAAGGTTCTGATGGACCCGCGGAGGCACACACCGATGGCTTGCGCAGGAACCAGAGTTGCCCGGTGTTAGCATTCTTTGTCCGGACTTCCTCGGTTTTTCCTGACTATTCTCGGGCGCAGGAACGTTGCTGAAGAAGAAACCTTAGTGGAAACCATTTCCTTCGTTCCTTGTTCTAGAGAGGGGTCTGAGCGGCCACTTCCTTCTGGAGGTGGATGATCGTATGGAGTTCGTCATTGGTCCCATGGGTCGCATGGACGGCCACTTCGTGTAGGCCTTCTGACAACCCCCTTCCGCTTCCCCTCGAGCGCAAGTATGGAACGAGTAACATGGGTAACCTTCTGTAACTGCTTGGCACCGCATCTGGAGGAAGGGTTATACAGCTGAGGTGGCTTGCGCCCAGAGGCTGTCCCCAGACATTTTCATTGAGATTCCGGAGGATTTACCCAAATTGAATGGTTGGTGTCACTTGGGTAACTTCCTGTTTCCTCTTGCAGATAGGGATTGACACAGGGATCCGATCGGGCTCGCCATGGACCTTCCCAACCATCCACATCGTCTGCGAGCGTTCGATGGCCTTCTGGAAGGTCAGTAAAC